ATCGAATTTCGAGTCAAAATTCACCGTGAACGCACAGTCAATTATACGACCATTCACATGCACACCATAATCGATTTTGCACACGTCGCTATACTGCAAAATATTTCTTGTCGTTACTCATTGAACACATCCAATTAGTACCTTGACGCTGCTTTCGCGAAAATATTCCATCAAGCTGCATAGCAAACGACAAAATACTTCAAAAGATGCTCCCATCGATATCATTTGGTACAAATTTTACTGAAATATTTGAGACGATGGCACACAATAGATTCCCCAAGCCAAACATTCTATCCATCACATAATTTGCAACTTCAAAAACCTGACGACAAAAATTATGTCCCTACATGGTTGCAAAAAAAACTAAAGAAAAACCTGTAGGACGGTATTGTCGCCAGCGTTTGGTGTGTAGTGTGCAGCGCAATGATTAATTGAACAACCAGTTGGGAATGCAAGACCCGAGTCGAGACCATGCTCTCGAATCATCCTACGCGAATGTGCTTCCAGCTTTTCACTTAAAATTCGTTAATTCTTCCACTGTTAATTCGCTTCATTAAGAATTGCGCGACTACAAAAACAATCTTCTATCTCCGAATTCTTTAATGTAAACGTTTCAAATAGTTCACACACTGTAATACAGTTGATAATTGCCATAACGACGTAATTCCGATTATAGATGCAATTTATCAAATTTATCAATGAATATCTTTTTGTTGACCTGAACAACCGATGAACAATAAAAATGAATCGCGCTAAACAAAAACGAACCATATTTCAATCATACTCAATCCGGGTTTCAACCACGATCGAACAAATTTACGCGTTTGTCGATGTGCTTCAGCACCACGACGAAAGTCTTTATAGAGCTCTTCGTACGATGAATCTAACGCCTAAAACAACCACCACCTCAACTTGAGGGAACTTGAACAGCTCGATGTAGTCGCCACTTCAACAGCTTAAGGTGCGACCGATCAAGGCAATCAACTAAGATATAGGTCTTACTAACAATTAATTATCAGTCAATCAAAACACTGAATATATCTGTAACTAACACAATGATTACCTACTGCTATATGGGTGATAACAAGTGAGTCATTAACGATCCAACGAAGCAATAATAACAACAACAATAATAATAATAATCAAAAATTTTAAAGTTCAAACAAATTTGACGAACCTTTTTCTCCTCATTGGTGAGTCTATTGATGGCCGTGCGATCGTCTGCATTCACTTTATACTCACATATCTCACCAATCGGATAGTCCGCATTCGGGAACTGTTCATCGACCGATTTCAATGATTTGACCTCTTCTTCGAATTTCATAAAAAGTGGTTTCGAGTCTGGCCGCACCGTATGATTATTCTCCGTACCACCTTAATTAATCGATCCATTGTAATTATCATTCACTCAAGTACTATAGGTGTCTTTTTATGCACTCAACACTTCAATAATCTTCGTCATGAAGCGATAAATATTCTCCAGAACTTTGTATAATAAATGAATTTGAATGATTCTGACGAAAGGACGATGATTCCAAAAAGACAATCACCTTTTCCGGCCTTCTTCCCTCCCTTCGCCGCGCTACTGTCTCGTTTCTGCGTCTCCAACTCAACCTCTTTCAGAATTGCGTCAATATCGTCAATGTCTGCATCCTTTCCTCCTACAATATTAACAAACACCACTTTCCATTTCGCACTGCTTCACGAATTCTCCCAACGTTATTTGAATCCGAATATTTCACTGTGCTCAAGGGAAAAGTTCCTTTGAATAAAAATGACTTTGTCGCATAAATGGATACGATAGACTTATCACATTCATTTTGTACTTTGCAAAAACGACAGACAAATTCATATGTTGAAAGAGCTTATCGTACAAATTCAAGGAGAAAATAATTTGGACGAGACTTAGTAAAAACCTTTCTTCTTATGCTGTGCATTCTTCTTCTTGTTTTTTGGCTCAGGGGCATTCATTGTTGTCGTTGAGGTGTGTTATTCTCAAGTGAATATCTGAATCTGAAATACAAGACTAAATGCAGAAATGCATGCACAATACGTACGAATAAGCTCACACTCACATGAATACCGTTTCAACATAACATGAACTGTGATTTGTTAGCTTTGCATACAGTCAATCTATTGGCTAAGACCACTGAAAAACTCTTTTTCAGTTGTCGTTTCCAAACAAACTCAATACGAAAATCTAAAAGTTTTATCAGTCAATGCCGTAAAAGCGTCTTCTTCGTAAATCATCAAAACAACCACGCAATTTCGCATTAAACTGCAACTAAATCAGGTAAGTGATAACGAACCTACTTTAGCGCTTAATCAACTGAAGTTTAAACTAAACAGCTGTTGAAATCCCATGACAATAACACTAGCTATCCAGTTACGTACACATATACAGTATGTCTAGAGAAGTGTATTCTGCGCAGACACGAAAAGCTACCGCACTCGAACTTCAATGTTTTAATTAAACAAAAGAAACCTCAATGTTCAATGCTCTCAAACAACTAAATAGGCCGTTCTCCATCCTGCAACGCTATGCTACGAATTTGATAGCAAACGAAACTTCAAACTTTTCTACTGATGCAACTATTCCAAGAATATTCTCTCTGAACTAGAACATCCGTAATAAAGCAAAGGACAAGTTGAAGTTTAAATAAATTGACGGAAAAATAATTCCACCCTATACGAAAAGTCGAATCGTCAAGAAAACAATAATAATAAGAAGATAGTTTGAAAGCGATTAAACCTCTCAATGAAACGCTTCTTCAATTGAAACAAAACACTCCACACCAAATATCTCCGTATGGAATAATGTAACAATTATGAAATTTATTTCAATCTGAATATTTTCACAATCATTTATGCAATTCCGAGTGAAAACATATGTAAATTTCCTAATACACAAAACAAACACTTCAACCAATTGATCATCACACAAACATTCAACAANTTGCAAGTTCACCAATCAATGCCCTACTTCACTCGATATCAAACGATTAATAAATCAACATTCATCATGACAGCAGTTATATAGCAGCATATACGTACAATACACAACCCGTCTTTAAGGCATTCAGCAATGAACAATCGTGCAGAGCACAAAAAAAGTGACAAAACGATGATTTATAGATAAGTAATAGACAAGTTTCAAAAACTGAGAACATACTTTGATGGGTATAAGTGAAAGAGAAATCTGGATGATATAAAATCCTACATGACTTCAACTTATCCAGAAATGTACTTTCCGAACAACATTCTCAAACCACCTCATTTGGTAACACTTCTAATGAACGTTACCCACTTAACTCATATTCCCTTCGCGTGCCTCATATCGTCTAGCAGTTCAAGGCTCTATTGCGAAAAATGATTTCAAAAATAGAACAGTTAACAATTTGAATATTAGCGATAACTCTGTACGGATGCAAATTGTCTAATCAATCACAAATTACGAATATATCAATAATAGTATCTATATTCCATAACATTATAATTTCTCACCGCTACATTAAATTCTATTTCGTTCGATTTTTTGCATTATCGAGATTCCTAATTATTGCTTATTAGTCCGTCTTTTTTCTCTGATTAAAATATCTCTCCGTGTAATAATTCATATAATAATAATAGCAGTTGATTAATTTCAAATGTTCGTCATCACACTGCTCTTTGGTGCATTCAACGTTTTGGTCCGTTTCAGACGTCGTGAAAAAATTATTCTCAGCATGATCAACACTCCCCTTATCCATTTTATCACATACGCCTGGCACAGGATGCGAAACATCTGCATTCTGTTTTGCTGTCGTTTCAACGAATTCACCATCTGTTTGCACGACAGTGTCTCTTCTCGATCTGCAAATATCCTTATGTTGATCAGTCAAGAGCATAACAATCCATTTCATTTATCCTAAGTAATATTCAATTTCAATATAATTGATAATTAAACATTCACAACAGTCGTCATTTCGAACAAGATCATTCATTAAATTATCTTTTCATGTCAAATACAAGAATTCTTTTCCTTATACAACTCCCATATTATTGTTACATCAGTGATCCTGTGTTTCGATTAGATCGAAATATTACGCAATTATAGGTTTGAAATTAAAAGAATCTCTGTACAGTTCCAAAAGAAAAGAGTCTGGATAAAACGAAAACTAAAAATTTAAAAAATGGTAAATGCTATATGTGACTGATTGGAGATGCTGTTCAAATTTTAAAGTTTACATTGAAATCAAATATTCTGTACAATAAAAATTCAAGTCTCATACCCCAACAACAGATCTTCTTCTGTTGACGTTGACTGATCTCTAATATTGTCCATTTTCAAATTCCACTCAGACCAAAATGAAGACTTCAAATTTTTCAAATACACTGATGCATTATGGACTGCCTGAAATATACGTGCAGAAAATCATTTGAAGAAATGTGTTGATGGCAACGATAAATCAATCTGCCCATGTACCATCGCTGCATTGCTGATCAGATATTTAAAAAAAAGCATTCGTAACAATAACATCTATCGATTACGACAAAACTATCGCATCTCGTAGCGATAAAATCTTTCGATTGATGCAAAATTCACCGCAAATGAAATCGACTCACTTCATTGTACTGTTGTGGCTTTCTTAACGGTCTCACCACTGGTCCAGTGCGTTTATTCTGCACTTCTTTTTGCTCGAATTCGTTCACACATTTGTAAAAATCAACAACGTACTCATCAAATGTCGTCGGCATTTCAACACAAACTGGATATCGTGCACTTGAATACAACAAATCTGTACGTTTCACTTTTTTGTGCTCTTCTTTTGCGCGTAATGCCTAAAACATAAACGAATCGAATATTCCATCACTGATATTCCATCAAAACCATAACCAAAATTAATTCTTACTTGAATTCTTCAATAAACTTTGACGAACGGCACCGCGCTTATGCCAAATTTTAACGAGTCTATATTGAAGATTATCAATTTCTGTGGGATAAAAAATGCAAAAAAAACAAATGATAAAATCAGTGGCAAAGATCGCAGAAACAAACAAACAAAGCAAAACAACTCACATTACGAGTCTTCTTCTCTCGTTCCCGGCTGATTCGAAGTCTTTCTGCAAATGGCACTCGTAATTCTCTGTCCATTTGAAATGGCTCTTCTTTCGTATTCCATTTTTGTGTGGCCCACAGCGACCACTCTTGTGCACATCGACTTTTACGAATTTTCAGCATTTCATCTCGACGATAAACAGTCCTTTCTGATGGAGTCGTCGAGATCGGACGACTCACCTTCTCTCTGTTTTTCTCAAACTGAACCTGGAACAATTCACTGACATGAAGTGGTCCAAAGAATAAAACAATTGTAGAATATGGATTCTGAAGCATCATCGATTCCATTGTTCAATAAAAATGAGCATTTCTGATCGACACTACGGGATAAAATGTCTTATTCTATTCACCATAAACGAACGATTTGTTGAATGAATTTAATGCGACTGATGAACTCAAGCGAATAACCAAAACTAAGCCAACTGAATAAATATTCATGAAAATGAACGCAGTCAATTGATAACAGCAAAAAGAAACAACGCACCAACAACGATGAACTACTTTCAGTGAATGACGTCGATGGTGTTGCATGAACAACGCTGACCACTTGCTGATTGTTTCCGACAAAAATTTCACGAGGAATCGATGACGCATATTTTGCGGAAACATAATTCCACCATTCACTATCAGTTCGAGCGTTTCGTATCTTCAAAAGTTCACCACGCAGATATGTGATGATCTGTCGTTGTTTTGCTCGTGAGCTCGTAAGTCGTTTAAATCTCGACTTCGGTCGATTTAACAGTGATCCTGACAAACCATCGTCAGCTAGCTGTTGTCGTACAGCGGCTGATTCTTGTGCCTCGGTTGATGAACTGACAACTGACAAAATGGGATTGATAGCAGCGGACGATTGCTGACCAGGAGAACAGTGGTCGTTTCGCGAGTAATCACTCGATACCATCAAACTTGAATGAGTTGCTTCTGTCGTTTCCTCACTATCAATTTTCAATGATTTCATAGCGTTTTTCAGAATTGTTTCACCGTTTACAAATCCATGTTTTTCAGATTCCATCTCAACTTTGATGGAGTTCGGACAGGTGTTGATCAAAAATGATCCTCCGTTCGATGTGGCCGATTCTATTGGATCGTCGTTATATGAGTGAGACTCTTCTTCTTCGTGGTTCAATTTCAATGCTTTTTGCTGTCGAATTTTCTGAAAGTGGATGATGCAATAAACTGGAGCTTTATTGAATTATTCAGCTGTTACACATGGCAGTAACCGATATGTTCACATATACTTTGCTGATGACGAAAGAAAAAATAAGAAATAAATTGCTGATAAGAAAGCGAACATTATAAAACAAACTACAAATCACTAACTTCCAAATTTCGGACCCTCTGCAACATTTCATCTGAAAGTGTTCCATGCTCACTCAATTCATTCGGATCACAATCCAGTTTTCTGGCTGAATAGATTAAAGCCGATTTCGAAATGACTTCTTCTTGTTGGGACATACTGATAATTTCATCATTCAGCAACGATCGTTCTTTTGCTGAATTCACATCCGTTCCATTGTCCGCCGTTGTTTCCTCTTCAGCACTTTTCTTAGCTGGCTATAAAGAAGGATCGAAGTGCGAGTATATAATGATATGAGACGTTCGGATCAATACGATAATCTATCAAAAATGAAGCACGAAAATCAGTCAAGATCGCTGTGTGAATTTAGGATAAAAGGAATAAAAGAAATCCAAAATCGCTCACAATGAAGGCGCTCTGAAAATCTTTCAAATGAAAACGTTATTCACTACGAATGCAAAGTGTTTCACAAAATTGTAGGATCAGATGGTCGTTGTTCTGCGAGGAACACATCTTCAAATTTCGAATAATCAGGTCGTACTTTTTAGACCTTACACGATACGAATTACCCCCTCAGATGCGCAAAAATGTATTTTCATTCAAAGCCGAACATTGATAATTCAAACATGCAAAAGATTACAATTCTCAAACATGCAAACGAAAATGAACCAAAATTACCTTAAAAAACGACGATGAATCATAAAATGTTTGATTATTACAAAGATCGCGTGGATACTGCTGTGTTAGATGCAATAATTTCACTTTCAAATGCGCTGTTTCCATTAAGTTCATGAAACGCTTCACTTCTTTGCCACACGTTAACAGTGTTATCGCTATACCATATCCACCTGATCATTCAAAAATATATATCCTTGAAGTACGAATGAAACTAAACAATGAAATGAAATGAACTCAAATTTTCCATTGGGGGACAAAAAATGAGCACGAAATAATAGTCAAGAAGAAGAAATGTTCATCACACAACAAATAAATTCTCAAAATATTCAACTTCAACACTCAGCCTGTATGCTCAATTCGATACAACTTTATAAAAGTATGGCAGTGAAGTTCGTACGAAGAGCGATAGACTCTTCGACGATTGTCTTTATTCCGAAAGCTGAATGAGACTTCACGAATACAAGATATTGAAATAATACACATCTGTCAAGGAATACGATTCTCGTTTCCGATGCAACTTTCTCTACTCACCAACAGATGCGATCATGAAATCAAAAACGTAAAGAACCTACCAAATCTGCCAGCACGTCCAATTCGATGCAAATAAGTTTCTGAACTCAATGGAGCACCGAAATTCAAAACACAATTCACATTTTCTGCATCAATACCGCGTGCCGTCTGAAAATTACTCAACAACATTACGAACATTCGCTTCATCACTACTAATTAGCAATCATTCGAAATTTCATCGATGAATAAAAACTGATTGAATGAGTTCATAAAAGTTTCAGAAGAATGAATTTTGCAAATAAAATGTCTCATTAAACATGACAATAACAATTATTGTGCGTAATAAAACTGCGAATGGCCGTATTAATTACTTATCAATTTCATCAATACTTCAGCGAACCAGTTTCTGGCGCAAATTTGATCAAATTCAATGTTGAAAAATTCCTTCGACGTGAAGAAAAACGATCGAAGAATGAAACAATAGAAATGAGAAAATTACCAGATCTGTTGAGACTAGAATTTTTAGTTGAAAATTTTTGAGACGTCTCATAATCCGATTTCGTTCGGTTTGTTCCATGTTTCCAGAAATTAATTCGGCATCAATATCAGCCGCTTGTAATGCATTCAATATGTGTTCACATCTTCAAAAAAATTCTTGTCAAGCAAGAAAAAGAACTACATTTGCGGAATATTGAATTGTCTTATACTGCAGTTAGAGAACACAACCTTTGAAACACCATGTTCTTTCGGCTTTAAGTACACTCATACTCATACTCAATACTCGAAACAATAAAACAGGTTCGAATGAGTAATGAATTATCAGAACATCAATAAAAAACATTCACTTTTGTTGATCATTTGCGAAGATGAGACATTGGCTGAACGTTATCTTTGACAGTAAATCAATAAGGGATGGCGCTGCATCTTTGCAATAGTACAACGCAACATATTGCTTAATACCTAATAATTGCACATCCTCTTCATTCAAACGGATCAGATGCGCTTCTGCAATTCAATTCA